GGGAAGATCACACTTTTTATAAAACGAAATCTAGCAAGTTAAAAAGAAAGCCCTAAATTTCGAGCATCTTCTTGGTAGACATCATTAGTAATATACAATAGAGTCTGTCTTTCTTTGAAAAACTTCTGCCCCCAGGAACTGCTCCTGAAATAGAAACAAATCTGAGTAGCGGTTCTGCTACTAGATTTCAGAGACCCCAGGGGTCTATAAAGGTGGTCTTCAGGCAACTCTGCCAAGGTGTGAACACAAACCTTTATGAGCATGTGCATATGTTTCTGAGGGGAACCTAGTTTTCCTTTCATAGCTTATCACCTCCAAAAAGGTTTGCAGAACACTAACTCACTGGCTAAGAACAACTGTCTTCTGGCAGGGACACCTCAGGACGGAGAGCGGAGCGCTGTGAGGCGTCAGGCTCATCTCAAGTCGCCTGCCTCTCCTTTAAATGTTTTTCCTTTGTGGAACTTTAACCCTCTGTATACCAATGCTTCCCCACACTGGTGTTCCTCACAGGGCTGTTAGGGAGCTATTAATTAGTGTTAATTAAAAAGTATATTATGCCCACATTTTGGGAATATTTCAATAAAGAGTTAAACAGGTTTTTTACTAGAACATTTCTCAGAAGCCAATATGATGCTAATATGCCCTGTAAATCTCTTGCCCCAACCCCAACACCCCCAGCCTCCGCTGAGGGTAGACGCATTCCCTCCTTGACCTGTGGAACTATTTTATTTTAAGTGCGGGGCTTGAGCTCACGACCCTGAGATCATGACATGAGCTCATATCAAGAGTCTGATGCTTAACCTACTGAACCACCCAGGCACCAACTGTCACGAAATACTAATAACTGCTTAGAAAAACAGTCCAAGGAACACCAGTTGGGAATGCTAGTACTCCAACAGCAAGGCTTAAAAGGTCCTCCCTCTCCCCGTTTTTCCTGCAACAATTATTTACTATGCATCTCAGCCAGAATAGGCATTACACACAGAGCTCCATGGACACGGGGGAAAATGGGACAGACTTGGTCCCAGTGATGGAGCTAACAGGTTAGTGAGTCAGAGGACTCTTGGGGCAAATGCCAATGCGACATTCTGACAAATGAAAAGAAGTGTTAGTAACTTACTGTAACACTGGATGCAAACTTGATCTAAGATATTTGAAAATTTGGATGTCAGTGGCGGCAAAGGTTCCAGCTGAATTCTTTTGAAGTCTTCGGGACAGTCCTTCTTGAGATGACCTTCTCGTTTGCATAAACTGCACACGACTGTAGGAGACTATGGGAAGGTGGCAAAGCAAACCAAGACTTTGTTTACAACTCTATTTGCCAACTAAAGGGGTTCTGAATCATTTTCTCAAAAGCCCCACAGCCTACTCTGACTTCCCAAAGGAACAAAAATAACGTGCAACCGCTGCAAACTACTTGAGATGGGGACATCTTCTGGGATACTCAGGAGTAAAAGGGAGTTATTTCCACTCCCGACAGCATTCCCTACGGCCTATGCAAATTCCCAGGGGTCTAAGGAGGGCAGGACATGGAGCGGTTGTACCGGAGTGGAAGACGAACTCCTGACTACCACCCGGACAGGGCACAGCTCTGTTCTAGTCCACAAATTTAAAATTACATGCACTAAAAAACCATTAACGTCTCTTAGTTCGAGGAGTGGCACGGATTACCTTGCCTTTGGTGAAGATGAGTTTACTAAATTCATAGAAGAAATCAGACTGATCTGCAGTGCAACTTTCCTCACATGCATTTTCTTCTTTAAGACTGATTTTATTCAATTCCATTAGTAGAGCCCCGTCCACATGTTTTCCATCTTCTTTCAGGTCTTTATACTTAGCGGATCCGCCTAATTCATCGTCCTCCTCAGACAGGGCGTCCTCGTCCCCTGATCCTGTGTACGGATTTTCTAACTCATCTTCATTTGCCAAGTCGTCCTCATCTTCCCTCCGGGGAATGGACAGCCTGGGTTCTTCATCGTCCTCCTCTTCCTCTTCCTCCTCCTCCTCCTCCTCATCGGAATGAATGATTCTTGACACGTGACCCTGTCTTGAAGGGGCAAAGTGGCCTAGAGCATCTTCCAGCTCATCAGGACCTTCTACGCCTTCTTCATCAACATCAGCCTTGTCCTCTGAAGTGACGAATCCATCACACTCGTTGGCCGTAGGACTGTGGAAGTCTTCTACATCCAAAGTGTTATCTGTCTCCTTATTTTGTGTGCCGCCACGGAGGACAAGCTCTCCACGTCTGCTACTGCTTGGCCCTTGATCATCGGCAGGCAAAGGATGCTTGCTCTCGCTCCCAGCTTTACTTCCCGCTGCTTGACGGTGTGCTTTAACATCCTCACAACCATCACAACCGGCCCCTGTCCTGATACGGCTGGAGTTTTCCAGGTGGATGCTGACATGTGCGTGCCCCATTTCCTCTGTTGGGGGGCCTCCAAAGCTTTCAGCAGTCTCTGTAAGTGGCTGTACCTGGCAGGTGTTTGCACCTGAACTGGCAGCACCTGGCTCTTGAGCCAAAGCTGAGCTTTTGAGTTCATCACCTTTTGCTCGTGCCCCCATGTTTGCTACTTCTTTAGGGTGTTCGGAAATACGTGTGACAGTATTCAGAGGCTTTGGAAGGCTGGGTTTTGTAATTTTGTGTGGAAGAGCAAAATACTTATATGTTGTCCTTAAACAATGAAGTATATATTCAAACACGGGCTGATTATTTAGAGTCCTTGCCACATTTCTTTTAACAGAGTAGGGATCTGTAACGAGAAGAAAAAAAAACAAAAACCCACCACTTCATACGTTTCCATTTCACATTTTAAAAATTAGCCTGCTGTAGACAAGACAACAAACACACACTACTAGAATTTAGCGTGAATCTTGTATGCGTTTTACCAAATTGGGGGTGGGATGTGGTTTCAGAACAAAAAGAAATGTTTTCTTAAACATCTGCTCTATGAAGAGAACCCATTCTGCTGAGAACCAGTACCCCTTCCCTAGTCTGTTCTGTGACTGTGGAGGTAAAAAAGGTGTCATCAGTGTGGCTCTCGCGCCCTGGGGAAGGGAGGTCTTCCCTCCAGGCTCTGCTGAGTGCTCTGCCTCCCCACTCAGCCAGGCCCTGTGGTGTGTAGAGCTTACCTCCACTCTTCTGCCCTGGGATGCCCCATCACTGAACTGGCTGGACTGAATTCAGGGGCGAGAGGGAGGCACCAGGAGGAGACACCACTTCTCTCAATCTTTTCTCCTCCCCTAGAACTCCAGCAGGTTAGGCAATTGGCCAGAAGAGCTGAGCCAGAGAAACTGCAGGGGAGGGTTTAAAAATGTGAGATCCCCATGACTGCACACAGAATTTATGCAAAATGCAAAATGCAAAAAAAAAAAAAACAAAAAACAAAAAACAAAAACCCTCTTATGCAATATAAAAGCTTGAAAAAAATCAAGCAAAAATACGAGAATTCCATTTAGGAGGTTCTTTAAATTATCTGAAGGAGGAGAACTAAGATTTCTAGAGGGTTTTCAACCTCCTGATTTTGCAAAGCTGAGAAGAGCTCGTCCATTTAATGTAGTCTACAGGGCACATCAGCGACTCTTTCATACAATGGTTTTAGTTAAATGAGCCTTCACTAGAAAAAGTGTTTTCAGGAATAAGTTCCAAATGCTATTGTAGATATTCCAAAAATAACTAGCCTCTCGCTATGAAGAGGAATCCAACCAAGAATTATTTTTCATGAGGGAAAGTATTTTCTCATCTTAAACATCTAAACAACATCAACAACCCATGAAAGGGCTGAATCTAAAAATCCAGCAATGAGAACAGCAGAGAGGAAAGGAGGATTCACACATCACCAGGGGAAAAAACTTTTTTTTGCGTTTAGGTTGGTAAGCAATTTACAAAGAAAGCGAGGACTCGCCCAGCCACTGTTTAGCTATTTTTTAACTAAGACATTTTATTGCAGTGCATAAAAAACCCAGAAAGAACAGTCTGGTCCCTTGGAATGACCACGGTAACACATGCCAGAGTCTAACTGTTTATTTCGCTGTTGGGGTCAGGCCTATGTTACACGTGGGAGCTGAAAGGAGAATGAAATACAAAGCATGCGGTTAGACTGGTACCTTAAAAGGAAAGGAAATTTAAGAGAAACATTCTGAGATACCTTCAATGGCAATGCGCTTTTTGGGCCAATCCTTGGATTCACGAGACACTGATTCTTTGACACGGATACTTATCACTAAATCAGCCAAATTAAATTCTAATGCATAGAATCGAAGCATTTCCACCCAGAGCTGCCCAACTGGTACTGATGGCTGGTGCTTGAAATCAAATATTAATGATACCTAGAACAGTAAAGAGAAAACACACAGGTAGTTCCGAAGTCAGCACAATCTGAGAAACTCGAGATCATTCAAGCAAATTACAAAAACTCTGAAAAACCATAGCAAACATAGGAATGTGACAATCCATCTGGGTAAATTGCATCTAGGTTCTATTTTGTTTGTGGCAAATACTGCACTCCTGGGATGAGAGCAGGTTAAAATCTAACCATCATCACAGGGGCGGGCGGGCACTTATAGGTAGCCAGGTGGCTGGCACTCCTAATTTTGAAGCCTTAGGTTCGAGGGTCTCAGCACAGAGCTCTCCCGGGTGCTGCCGCTGAAGGGCACCTTTACACTCATGCACACTAAAATGGGCGGCAGGTTAAGGGTGTAGAGCAAAAGGCAAAACACTCCCTTCCTTTGCTCTGAGAAGCTATGCCAGGGGCAACTGATCTTCAAGTTAAAAAACTTTTTGTCTTTTTCAAAGTTTATTTAAGTAATCTCTACGCCCACCATGGGGCTCGAACTCATGACCCTGAGACCAAGAGTCGCATACTCTTACGAATGAGCCAGCCAGGGGCACCAGAGTCAAAGAACTCTTGGTTTCAGAAATTGACGTCAGTTTTACATTGACAGGCTCTCGACAAATTGGAACATACTGTGATGGGATGTACTGGAAGGTGCATAGGACCTAGAATAGGGGGGGAAAAAAGAGTCCAAATATTGACTCTGCCACTTCTCTTTTAACTGCTCCCTGACTTAGCGTCTTCACTCTCAGCTGGCACGACAGCACAGTGGCTAAAACTGCCTTTGCCACGGGACTTTTAAGTTTGAAATCCAACTCTGCCATATACTGGCTGTGTAGGATCCTGGCCAAGCTATAGGCAGTCTAAGCCTCAGTTTCCTCATCTGAACAATTGGGATTACAGTACCCACCTCAGAGGGTTGTTGGGAGGACTGAGTGAGAGAATGTCTGTAAAGAGCTTAGCACAGTGCCTGGCACACATGTTCAAAAAATGGTCGCTATCATTATCTGCAGAGTAGGGACGGTACCACCTATAACACAGGACAGTTATGAGGATTAAATGAGAGACAAGGGAAAGCATCTGGCACATTCGGTTGCTCTCTGTATTTTTTCACTTAGGTATATAGGCTTTTAAGTACAAGGAATCCACTTATCACTGAAACATGATGTCACAACCGTAAGGTGCTCTTGAGAGGTAATCTAGTTCAGTCCCCGGATGTTAGGAGAGAAAATGGAAGCCCAGAGTTGACGTGACTTGTCAAAGGTCCCGCTGCTTGTCAGTGGCAGCACGAGCAGTGTCTCAATCCCAGGACAGGGCTCTTTCATCACACCATACAATCAATCTCGACCCTATCTAGGTCTCCATTTCTGAAGTGGCAGCAGGATTAATCTCTCCACACGACACAAAGATGTAAAGATCAAGTATTTACTTCTGCTCACAGCAACAGCTTTTCCTTCTGAGGTATACAAATTTGTCTCCCATCCCACTTTATTATACTGAGGATCAAAACAAGTGGTATGGTATTTTATTAGCCACTAAATCCTGACCACAAACATTCTGTCAAATAAGATCAGGTCATCGGGTAGATGTACAAAGCAGAAGTGACTGAAAATGGAAGTTGTCCATGTCCAAACACTGTGGTTGAGGACACGAAGAAAACCCCTAGAAATTGAAAGCCTCATGAAATTTCACCGCTTTATCCATAAGCCTTATTCAGCATCACTAAGGGCTTTTAAGCCTCTCACCAAAATGACTTGAGGATACCACACGGAACTTAAGAGACCTTTGATAGCTCTACATTAGTGGTACTTAAGCTGTTTTTCGTTATTGTTTTTATTCTTTTAAAGTAGGGAACACTTTCTTCCCCCCCCCCAAAAAAAAAGAAAGAGAAAAGAATGGCAGCTAACATTTACTGTGTGCTTACCACATGCTTGGCACTGAGTTAAGCATTCCATGAGTCAGTGACCCTCTGAGAGGGTACCAATATCATTTCCAGTTTTAGGTGAGGAAACTGGGGCACAGGAAGATTAAGTCACTTGCCCAAGGACACACAGCTAGGAAGTGCGAGAGCTGGGATACGGATTCACATATTCTGGCTCCACAGCCTCTACTCTTATCCACTCCTGGAACCCCAAACAGGACACAGAAAAAAAGTGGGGGTGTTCTGGTGGTGGCAGAGGTTGAGTGGCACAGCCTCCCTTCTCTCTCCAATGCTCAAGGATTCTAGAAAACACAACGGGAGAATCTACCACTCACCACTATCTCCTCATTTTAGGCACAGACCAGAGGAGTGACCTGACTTGTTTGTGTGTAGCTAGGGTTCGAATCCTGGTCTCAGAAGTATTTTGTGGGTATTGCTGCCATTTCATCCCATAAGGTTATGGAGAAAGGCATGAGGTCAGGGACTGTCCACCAATTTGGGGCAGATTCCTATCATTTCTAAAATAATTACAATGCTCAGATTTTTATTTGAAATTAAAATTTTTTTTTTCAACGTTTATTCATTATTGAGAGGTAAAGGCTGAGCATGAGCAGGGGAGGGGCAGAGAGAGGAGGAGACACAGAATCCGAAGCAGGCTCCAGGCTCTGAGCTGTCAGCACAGAACCCGATGAGGGGCTCAAACCCGAAAACCGTGAGATCATGACCTGAGCCGAAGTCGGACGTCCAACCGACTGAGCCACCCAGGCACCCCTGAAATGTAAATGGCAATTCCTTCCCTGTGCATATATTTCCTTGCCAACCTCTAATGGTATGGATGAGGACGTGAAAATACATCATACCAAATACTTACTCGCTGTGATTTTAGTACCTTTGAGGTCAACGAACTTTTCACATATTTAAAACTCTTAATACCATCTAAGACATAAGCTCTTTGAGGATAGACAGGGGTTGATCTCTGAATTCTCAGTAACCCTCACAGGACCTGGCACACAGAAGACACTACAGAAATAACTGTATCTGATGATCTGCGTTTTACCTTTTGTCTTTATTTGTCTAGTTGAAGGACCGGACAGACTAGAAAATGAAACATCCACGAAAGAGTTAAGATAGGTAAAGACAGAAAGGAGGCCTGATTAAGTCACAGAGTCCACAATGAACAATGAAATCAAATAGAAATTGTACAATTAAAAATGAGAAAGAGAACAGACCTGTCCCCTCTTAACAGGCACTTCTCTTGGTGCCTCGTGTTCTGCTGTTTCCGCATCTCCGGCAGCATTGTCAGCATACTCCCAAACCACGGTGTCTTCCTGAACGTCTTTAAGGTTGAAATTTCCTAGTTTGTTCAACGAGAACCCTTCAATCTAGGAAAAATTAGACACACGCTATTATTATAAGGTAGAAAGGATTCGATATCGACCAGAGCATTATTAATCCTGGAAGAAATGGAAACACACTTCTAGCTCACAGAAAATAGAAAAGTGGGGCAGGGGGAGGGGGTGGGAGCCTGGGTGGCTCAGTCGGTTGAGCGTCTGACTTTGGCTCAGGTCACGATCTCATGGTTCGTGAGTTCAAGCCCCGCGTTGGGCTGTGTGCTGACAGCTCAGAGCCTGGAGCCTGCATTTTGTGTCTCCCTCGCCCTCTGCCCCTCCCCCGCTCACGCTCTGTGCCTCTCTCTCAAAAGTAAACATTAAAAAAATTTTTTAAATTAAAAAAAAAAGAAAAAGGTATCGTTTCTGGGATACCTCCAAGACATCTGTTAATTTGAAAATACTTTTTAAACTAAAAACCAAGGTTTTAATTGGCAAAAGAAATGGTGACTTTGTGAAATAATTTTTTAGTGAAGAGTCTGGGAGAAGGTAACATGGCTTAGGCCTAGAGCCATGGGTTCTGGAGTAAAACTGCCCAGGCCCTGACCTCAGCTCCCTCCTGGAGCTGTGAGACTTCCAGTCAGTGCTTGCTTTCTTCCCGTCGCAGGTTTTTGTAAAAACGGGTCGCAGGAGAACTTTCTTTATGGGATAGTTGTGACGTGAAATAATGTACATAAATCACTGACACAGGCCATAGCACGCAGTGAATACTCAATGTAAGAAACTGTTTCTATCGATGTTGTTGGAATGCAAATGGCTAAAGAAAACAGTTTGGGCTTAAAAGTTCCAAGAAATTTGGAACAAAGTTGAACAGCTTTCTTTATTGTAAAACGGGACTGATCATAGCCTTTAAACAGGTGCGTGTAGGGGGCACCTAGGTGGTTAAGTGACCGACTCTTGATTTCGGCTCAGGTCATTATCTCGCGGCTTGTGGGTTTGAGCCCCGCATCAGGCTCTGTGCTGACAGATCAGAGTCTGGAGCCTGCTTCTGATCTGTGTCTCCCTTTCTCTCTGCCTCTCTCCACTCTCCCTCTCTCTCAAGAATAAATATTAAAAACATTTTTTTAAAAGTGCCATTAATTTTGGAAAATTTCAGTCATCATTATCCCCAATTATTTCTTCTGTTCCTTTCTCTTCTCCTTCTGATACTCTCGTAATATATATATATATCACAACTCCTGGTAATTGTCCTGCAGTTCTTTGATAGTCTGCTCTGGTTTTGTTTTTTGATCTTTGCTTTTCAGTTTGGGAAGCTTCTACTGAATGAAGCGCACTGATTCTTTGCCCATCTGTGTCCAAGCTACTGATGAACCCACTGAAGGCATTCTTTATTTCTGTTACATATTTTATTTGTAGCACTTCCTTTTGATTCTTAGGGCTCCCATCTATCTCTCCACTTCTATTACCCAGCTGTTCTTGCACGTCACCCATTTTTTCTGTCCGAGCCCTTAGCATTTTAATCTAAGTTATTTTAATTTACCAGTTGCATAATTCCAATGCTTGCTCTGACTCTTTAAAAGGGACAGAGACAGGCCTTTAGTGTGAAGGTTTTTTTTTTTTTTTAGTTATTTTTTTTTATTTTGAGAGAGAGAGAATCCCAGGTAGGCTCCATGCTCTCAGCACAGAGCCCAGCTTGGGGCTCAATCCCATAACCTAAGCCCAAATCAAGAGTCAGACGCTTAACCAACTGAGCCACCTAGGCACCCCAAGTGTGAGGTTTTATTTTGCTAGGAGTTAGGCTATGTGTTTGTTGTAGCTGTAGATGTCAAGAGGCTAAAACTTCATCTGGTGTCCTTGTTTTTGTCTCCCCTGTTGTCTTTGGGTTTCCTAACAGATTTCTTCTGAAACGAGGTGTTTCTGTTATAATCCCATTTTATGCAGGAGCCCTAATGATGTGGTGGTAAGGTCTGGGGGGAGGGGAAGCATTCTATATAGTCCTATGATCAGGTCTCAGTCTTTTAGTGACTGAGACCCTCCCCCTGCCTTCCCCCAGGTAAGAAGACAGGAAAGGTCAGGAAAGGGGCTGGAGTTAGGTACTCTCCTTTCCTCCAGGTCAGTTAAGCCCTGGTTAAAAGTTTCCCTTGAAGGCAAGCTTGTTTAGAAGAACAGAATGCTCTGGGCATACTTTAAAATTGCGACTTTTTCTCTCACTCGGCCAAAGCACGAGGGGATTTTTCTTGGATCTTCACCCTGAGAAGCTGGTGGGGGTTCCTGGAAGTAAAACCTGTGAAATTGTTGGGGGTCCCCTAAGACTGGGGCTCCCTGTTATTTTTCACGCTCAAGCTTGTCCATACTGAGCCTCCAGAGCCATAGTCTAAGCCTTCCTACCCTGGTATAGGCTCCGTTCCTGGCCTCCTGCTCTGATAAGTTATAATTTGCTCTATTTGCCTGTCTCTCCAATTTTTTGGGCAATGGTTTTCCCTGTGACCTCAATTCTCTGATGGATCTAAGAAGAGCTGTTGATTTTCACTTTGTTTAGGTTTTTTTTTGTTTTTTTTCCCCCTTTTTTCTGAGTATAGAGTGATGACATCCAAGCTTGTTAATCCAACAGACTGGACCGGTTCAGAAGTTAGAGACGAGTTGATTTTATACACAGAGTTAAGGGTTCCACTTCTAATATCTTTCCCTTCTGGGTTCTTCCCCTTTATCTGGTAGCCCTAATTCCTCTTGCCAGAAAGGGGACTGGTTTTTCTCGCAGAGCTGCCTTTAGGGGTAAAGCCACAGAAAAAACGGACACTCGCTCTGTGTTGGCCACCTGCTCCAAGGTCTGACTTCTCTCCAAAGTCGGCTTGCACTTGTTCAGTCTCCAGAGCGTTCGCGTTGTTGGTTTTTTTTTTTTTGGCATTTTGTTGAGAATTTATAGCTGTTACTTATACACGGATCACTTGCTTAGGAGTTCATGCCTCCATTTCATAAGTAGAACCTGACTTCCTATTGAGGGAGAAAAGGACTACATTTGTTCTCCTACTTTGTTTTAGGAGCTTTACATTCATGGTCTCATTTCAGAATTTTGCAGATAAGGACTCCGAGGCTCGGAGAAAATAAATTGCTGGAGGTCACAGGGATATGTATGAATAACAAGAGCTGGAGGAATTGTAGGGCTATCAAACTTTAAACTACTCTTCTTTCCATTACATTCGTTACCTGGCATCCTTCATGTGTAAAGGACTGTTTGCTAAAGGCTAAGCCTATATAGCCCAAAACAAGACAGATCCCAAACAATATTTACTAGAAGACTAATAAGATATTATTGTAGTGGACAAAAGATGATGAGCAGACAAGGTTAAACCTATTCATCCGTCATTATTCACTATGATTTCAACTTTTAGTCAAATCAAGGTCTACTAACAATACATGGAAGTTAAGAGGTCAGCGAGGACAGCCCCCAACATGGAAGAGGTCTGCATAGGTTGGGAGAGAATGGCTGAAGAATTTCTGAGGAGACAGATTAGGGCACAGAGGTAGGATATTCTAAACTTCTTCATGGAGAATTTTGTCTTATTCATCTGTGTATTCCCTTCAGGGCCAAATACAATGACAAACCTACATGGTGTTTTAAAGACTGTGAAGGAATCAACAGTTTAGATACTTTCATCCACATAATTTAGAAATCTTCAATGGATTTTCTACAAAAATAATGATGTAAAATTTCTGGCACCAATAAGGGAGTGAAATTAACTTCTTTACCTTCACTTGCTTTATATTTCTGTGACTCTAGCAGAAGCTTCTAGCATTGGTAAGACTCTAGTACTGGCAATTGACTAGCTTAAAACATTGAAAACTGCAGATCATTTTGGTTCAAGCAGTAGAGTGTGCCTTATTTGATCCATAGAATTCAATCCATGTTTGACCACCACATACCTGTTTCTCTCATTAAATCTTAAATGAACAAATGCTATAATCACAATCAAATTCAGTGTCACCATAGAGAATTTCCAGTATCACTGCCTAGGATGTAATATACTGGCCACAGAAAAGGGTATATTGATACTACTGTAGTCTTAAGTAAATCCTTAGGAGAACCCCCTTACCAGAATAGAAACATCCTTTTTCCTGCATCCTCACAGCAGTGACAGAGGACTACTCAGAGGTGACCAGGACCCAAGGAAAGGCATATCTCACCAAGACAATAGTGAGTATGGGAACCCATACAATGTGCTCTCAAGAGTCTAACTGGTTTGGTTCCATCCTAACGTCCTGTCTCTATTGGACTAACATGAGAGGAAAACTTCAGAGACAGACTCCCCTCTGGGTCTGATGGAAAAGGTTCTTTATCGGCTAAGGGTTGACTGTTCTCTCTTCGCTCCATCAGGAGAGCAGTCTAGCAGACACCCGCTGGGACCATGCATCCTTTCAGTTCAGTACAAGCACAAAGAGAGGGCCCTTCAGGCCACTGGGACACAGAGCCGACTGCAATCCCTCTGCCGGGACCATTTACAAGGGGCTCATTCTGCTTTAGTCTTTGTTCCTAGGACCCAGCAGGTCCTTGCTTAATTCTCAATCTGTTAGGTACAAAGAAAAAACTTTTCCCTATAATCATACAATTTTGCTATGTACCCATAGGTAAGAGCTACTGCCGTAGAACATACTCTCCTTAAATGATGAGAATCCTGGGTACAGTAGGAAGAAAAGTGGTTAAAATACCAAATGTGCCCAAATAAGCTTTTCACCAAGGGGGACTTTTTATACAGTTAAGTGTACATATAAGATGTTCTCAAGATAAACACTTAGGGTTTAAAAGTGAGGTTTCCAAGAGGATGAGAATGGTATCTTGACTTTGAGACGGTTTCTCCTTAAATCCTATTTGAATAAACCAATTCAACCTTAATTTATGCAGGAAAGAGTGGCCACATCACTGAATTCTGAATCATCTTAAACACGAAAATATTATTCAAGCGGTGACAATGCTCTGCATCTTGCAGTACAGCCAGCAATCTCAACTCTTTCCTTTTGTTTCACAGGGAATGGGGAATGCAGAGGGCTGAGAGACTAGA